CAGTCAGCCTTGAGTATATCGTTGAGAGTAAGGATGACTGCATCCTCTGATGTACTACTATTAATATCTCCACTGTAGTTGTGATGTGGGTTGGCACCCTATATTGATCCTTAGATTTGTTACAAATACTAGCAAGGAAATTGCAGGCCAAACAATCGAACAGTGTGACCCCTTCAGCTAGTTTTTGCCCATGAATCAACATAATGGAACATCTCGTCGCAAGATGGAAGAGTAACCCAAACAACATCAGCATGGTTAGGGGGTTCTCTTCTGCTGAATCCACACTGATTATGGACTCGTGACACATCCCTCTCTCAACGGTGATTATCCACCTCTATAAGCCCCAGACTAGATCTGTAAGATTGCGAAGTCGGGGTGTCCTGTGTCGGAATGTTTTTACCGGCAGTGTTTATTTGTAGTTTAAGACTTCCTTTGTGTGGGAAGTTTGTCATTTGCCACTGGAGTGGAAGTAGATAGTTGTCGCGTCTTTAAGGCTGCATTTGATTCCTCTAGAATCGCACTCACTGTCTGTACAGGTCCAGGGTTTTGTTGTGCCTGTTCTCCTTAATTACATTTCCTATAGCCCAAAAGCATTAATTGCACCAGATTTTACAAGCATGCCCACACAAAGCAGCACTTGCAATCCCCCAGGGAAATTATTTTTTTTTCTGGATCTGCCGCCAGAAATTCTATGTCAAGCTTTTGATCCCTGAACATTCAAAGTAGTTGAGCGATTCCTGCTCCATGACAACTCGTTACCTGGTGGATGTATATCGGAGGTTATAAACTTCGCACATCCTCGTGCTTTGATTATTTCATAAAGTGGGGTATAATGACGTTCGGGACTGCCCCACAGTCCACTAATGCTTTGGTCTGAATATGACGTACTGTGAGACTAAGGATTGAGTAGTTTGCTAAATCGAGTCCCATAACACCTATAAGGATCATGTCAGCCTTGTCATCACTCTGTCCATGTTACTATTTCGACGGTTTCCCCACTGGATAGCCTTCACCATTCTTTCAGTTTCCTCTGACCTTTTTCCTAGAGTTAACATTAGCGAGATGATCTAGGTCACCACAAACAAAACAAAGTCTCGGGACGTTGGTGACACTGTCTTTTGTTCGTGACCCTCCAGTTCCGCCACATCCACGGCTATGTTTCCCACGGACAATGCGTCCTCTACTGAAATCTCGACCGCTTTCTCTCCGACCTCTTGTCTGTGCGGCTGGGGCATAGAAAGGTGGATTAATTAAACGTGCCACATCTGTCATGTCGGCAGTTCCCGTAATACTCACAGTAGCGTAAGTGGTTGAGCAGTAGATTGATATTTCCTACTCTTTTCCCTGCCCAAGGGGCTTCTGGCGAAGTCCACCCGAAGTCCACCCGTAGCCTCATCGTCTCTAAGATGGTCTATCGTCCATAGCGCCACCGTGCCGAGAATACTAGTTAAATTCATCTTCCGTATTTCTGCATCATCCTAAATAATACATTATCCCTTCGGCGCTATTTCTTTGTTGCTCTAGAAGGCGAAACTCTCTCTAAGGCATGCAACAATTATTTTTTGAGCCAGTGTTGTACCTCCGACTTTTCCACTTTAACCAAGTCGTTCAATTGATGCGTATGATATCTGCATGGTCGAGGTTTCAGGAGAGATACCCTGCCACATCACTTTATCCGATCCGGGATTTCTCGGAAATGTTTCCAACTTCAGTTGTTCGGGTCGGTTACACTGAAATGGCGATGGAGGCTCTCATCGGTGTGTTTGAGAGCGAACACGATTTCATCACGGTCTTCGGTGATTCTTAAATATTCACGTTCATGTTGTGTTTGCTTTTCTCACTTCTCCTGGATATGCCTTCACTAGATAAATTAAGAGGAATGATCCTCCTCTTGGTATCCGTGTTACCTCTGGGGACAATGCTTTGCACGGCCACCACTAATCGGTTTGTATCTACCAAAATACTGCTAGTTCCTTCCATCCCTTGATTTGCAGGAGTCGATATCTCGGTCTTTTTGCGGGGTCGGACACTCTTCTCATATGCTTATAAGTAAAACAATACAAAACGGAATATCAACCAAAATAGACCATGTGAGCAGCAAAAACATTTCATATGTTTAACTAATTAACTAACATGGAGTGCTAATATTTTGCCATGAATCCATCCAAGTTTCAAGTTGTGATTATCTGCGTACAGTCAATAATCATCGTTATTACCACAGTTCAGTAAAAATGCCACATTTTATGTTTTTATGTACCATTATAGTGTGTTTTCATATATTTTTGTATTAAATAACATTTGTTTATTTCCATTTCGTTATTGGTTATTACCGCCACACAGGCATGTCAAATGATACTTTACAATTGGGGGTCACTACAATGCCCGATTTAAAGTGTTCTTAAGTTGTCATATTCAGCATGGAGATACTTAAGAAAGGCTTGGATGCTGTCAGGATGTCTCGGGGAACATATCCTGCAAGTTTTATTGATGTACTCCGCATGATGATTGAAACCTTTGGTTGGGTCAACGAGTGCACTTTGACCTGTCCGTCGTTCTTAAGTGGATTTGTCCAAAATTTTGACACTTAAGAATGATTGATTCTTATTATGTGTTGGTAGAGGAACATTTTGGTGTAGGTTTCATGGATGTACTCAACCATGCTGATAAAACTTTAAAGCCAGTGGGAGTAAAAAGGGTACCCGTTTTTTCACCTTTTTGTTTTGTGTAATAACGGTACCCGAGAATGGATGATTAAACAAGTGATCCTTATTCCTCCCATTAAAATCTACATTTGAAGTCCAATCTTGACCCAGTACCCCAAATAGTAAGGGAGTAGCAGTCATTTTAAAGGTACCGGAAGACGGAATTGGGCGGGCCACATTTGACCTCTTCTTAAGTGGCTTTGTCCACAAAACCAATATTGATATCAGCATGCCATAAAGTATATTCGTTAAAGGTTTCACTGATGTACTCAACATGCTGATTAAAAGTGATAATTAGCATTAATTAGGTCGTTCTTAAGTGGCCAAATCCACAACGTGTTCACTTAAGAATGACGGATCCTTAATCAGACCCCAATGAAGATTAGGTTTGGAAGATGTACTCGAGTATGCTGATAAAAACAATTTTTGAGGGTAGTTTGAGAAGCGCCTCCTCGCGGATACCACAGTTGCAGCACGTAAAAATGGCCGTTTAGGGTCCATGGCGCCTTTGGTGTTCAACCCAGGTGTCAAACCTTGGGTCTTTTTTTCCGGCGCCAAGAGGTGTAGTACTAGTTTCCTATGACTCCGCCCTATTTATGGGGGCGGAGTCATATATAAGCAACTGCACCTGGCTGATGAGCGCGCGGAGCACCTCTGCCCGTTCTAAAACTGGAAGAAAATGGGGTCCAAAGTTGATGCTACACTGTATGGTGCAATATTAGTAACTTGATGATGTTAATGAGGATATTATTGTACTAAGTACTAGTTTAAAAGTATTTACGCGCCGGCGCGCGCGTGTATGTGTGCCTGTATGTATATATATTATTATATATACATACAGAAATGTGTACATACATACATACCTGTATATACAGTATACACACTCACACATATATACTTAAACACATATGTATACACACATGCATATATATATATATATGCTATATATATATATATATATATATATATATATATATATATATGATATATATATATATATAATATATAATATATATATGTATATATATATATATATAGATAGATAGATATATATATATGCAGAAATATAATATTAAAAATATACACTACCACCATTTATAACAATATAGAGTTTAAGGTTTATATGCTTTCGTATTAATAAGGCTACGGCTAAGAAGAGCGAGGTTCAGGTTTATCTTTCGTATGTGTACATTTTTATGCGTTATGTCATGCAAGGCTTGTTACTGTTTTTCTTATATCATTTATGCTTTAATTTGGGCAATATTCAGGCCTCCAAAAGTGTTCCATGACGAATAATATACGGGGAAGTATCTCATGTTTTATTTACAGAATGTGTTCGAATGGTCAAAGAATATTATGAAAATTTATTAGGTTTTACATAATCATTTTACTTATTATGTATGTATAATTGAATATGCTACGTAAACTTATATATCCTTTTGAATGTAGTTGATATCAATCAATAAATAGTGTCATTTTCAAAATATTTAAAGAAGTGTGACCTTCGAAACCATTGTCGATGGACGAATGAAGAAGTATGATGGGAGGCGCTTAGGGCCCGCGCATTTTCAACTGATTTCGATAGTTTTCCGTCGTTTGATTTGTAATTTGAAGATGTTGATAACTAACAACTTGTATTTATTGTTATTTCCTAATGTTACATCAGTAAACCAGTGATTTGTTAATTGATACAATTCAAAAACAAAATCAGATTCGTCAACTCGAGTACAATTCCTAGGAATGGGGGTGGAGCCGCACCTGTGGCAACAGCGTAGAAGCATCGGCAGCGTTGCTGTCGCGATCGGCCCGGAGAATGTCGCAAATGAAAAAAACGACACCTAGTGTAGTTAGACAGTTTCTTGACACCGGAAAAAAGGCCTCTTTTGTACTTGCCATGCTGATTAAATCCCTCTGGGCTCTCTGACTAACACACTCACACACACACACACACACACACACATTCATACGAAAAATTAGATGCAGTTGTCAAACAGTCATGTCATTACTATAAAACGTACGATTCAATCATTTAACTCATTATTCATTATTATGGTACTATATTGTCAGAAAAGATATTATTATCGAAATTTTGACATGTTTTGCTTGTTACACACATCATTTAAGGAAACGTTTCCAGATAACGTAACAAATCTTTTATAACTCAGGTCCCTCACATACTTGGATAGATATGGAAGTAAACATCAAGGAAGCCACTTCGTCTTAAGTTCCGTTTTTGTTTGGTTCAAGGTAAGGATATATCTTTGTTCAAATAATGATTACCCTTTCCATACATTCAGTCACAGTAATAAGTGCAAATGCACGAATGGTGACTCAGTGAGTAAGCGACCTTGAATGCTACAAGGGAAGACATTATTGTCAAGATCGTTGCAAGGTGGATCAAGTGCATACTCTGTTGTATTTATATCAACGGAACAAGAAGTGGATGCAGTTGTAAGGTAATTACCCACAAGATAACGTTTTGATTGCAGTTGAAATGTTTCTGATTGTTAGATGGTGTACTTCAAGTACCTCCCCATGTTTGAGTTTTACTTTTTTAAATGGAAGAATTCACAGCATTTAGAATTTATGGTAATTTTCTATATTACCTTTGCCTCTCCGATATCAATGATTTTGGTATCGTTGGATTCCTCTCACTGTCCACATTGCAAATATGTAGTTTTTATTGCGCGGTAACCCCCCCCGTTAGCGACAAACTTGGGCCGATAGCAGGTGAGGGCTTGAAAGGTTCCATGGAAAATGAGGGGTTAAATAACACTATTAATATAACCCACAGTGAAAATAATGGTAATTTTCTATATTACCTTTGCCTCTCCGATATCAACGATTTTGGTATCGTTGGATTCCTCTCACTGTCCACATTGCAAATATGTAGTTTTTATTGCGCGGTAACCCCCCCCGTTAGCGACAAACTTGGGCCCGATAGCAGGTGAGGGCTTGAAAGGTTCCATGGAAAATGAGGGGTTAAATAACACTATTAATATAACCCACAGTGAAAATAATGGTAATTTTCTATATTACCTTTGCCTCTCCGATATCAACGATTTTGGTATCGTGGGATTTTTCTCACTGTCCACATTGCAATTATATAGTTTTTATTGCGCGGAAACCCCCTGTTAGCGACAAACTTGGCCCCGATAGCAAGGGAGGGCATGGAAGGTTCCAGGGAAAATGCGGGGTTAAATAATACTAATGATATAACAAACTGTGAAAATAACCATGGTTATTCACATGACTTTCCATTGCAGGGGGCTGTGCCCCCTGCGACCACCCCTTGAGGGGCTGCCACCCCCCAACCCCCGCCGAGGAAACAAAACCTCCACCCCGAATTCCCGCAGGTTAGAGCGTTACAAAATTATCGTCGATCTCAGAGCGGCGGACATATTACAGTTACCTCGTAACATTTCCATTGAATCAGCATACTAACCTTGACATAGTCATCATTGTATACAGAGACAATTGTTGTATAATCACGATGAATGGGGTATATATACCATGAACAGAAGAGCGCCCTCGTCGGCGGGTTTTGCGCCTCTCTCGATGTTACACCGATGGCCTCAAGGTCGAGTTTTCCGTCCCCTGGAACCACGATTTTCAAATTCCTAACCAAAATAACCACCGCGTTCAGTACTTCGCCATAGCCGCCGCGATGACCGAGTGTGGAGGGTGCTCCTACTAGGTACCAGGTTATGTAGGATAAGTTATCGGCTCCGCATCTAGTTCGTATCTGCTCTATCTTGCCGTGAAATATGTGGTGGATATTTTGTTTCCTCGGCGGGGTTAGGAAGTGGCAGCTCCTGCTGGGGGGGTCACAGGGGCACAGCCCCCTACAATGAAAAGTCATCTGAATGACCATGGATATTTTCACTGTGGGTTATATTATAAGGGTAATTTTCTATATTACGTCTGCCGCTCCGGCCGCCGCTCTGGCCGCCGCTCTGGCCGCCGCTCTGGCCGCCGCTCTGGCGCCGCTCTGGCCGCCGCTCTGGCCGCCGCTCCGGCCGCCGATCCGACATTGTCGTCCCCGATATAGGACCCAAGTTTGCCGCTAACAAGGGGTTTCCGCTGCCGCCCCAACCCCCGCCGAGGAAAAAAAACCTCCACCACATATCCCTGCAGACTAGAGGGTTACACAGTTATTGGCGATCTCGAGTGGCGGACGTATTACATTTACCTCATAACATTCCCACTGAATCAGCATACTAACCTTGACATAGTCAGCATTGTATACAGAGACGATTGTAGTATAATCAGGATGAACAAGGTATACCATGAACAGAAGAGTGTTGGTGGCCCGCCTTCGTTGGCTTGGTGGGTTTTGCGCCTTTCTCGATGCATCTAGCTCGTGTGCACTCTATCCTGCCGTGAACACGTGGGGGATATTTTGTTTCCTTGGTGGGGTTTGGGGCGGTAGCTCAGGGGGGTCACAGGGGGCACAGCCCCTGCAATGGAAAGTCATGTGAATAACAATGGTTATTTTCACTGTGGATTACATTATTAGGGTAATTTTCTATATTGCGTCCTCCGCTCCGACCGCTGCTCCAACATCGTTGCCCCTGCTATCGGGGCCACTAAGTTTGCCGCTAACGGGGGTTTCCGCTCAATAAAACCTACATATTTGGATTGTACAGAGTGAGAGGAATCCAACGATACCAAAATCCTCGATATCGGAGAGGTGAAGGTAGTATAGAAAATTACCGAATTTATCAGTAGGTAAGTAAAATAACTATTTTTGTCAAAAAAAAGAAGAAAATCCAGCTTTTGATATTTTCATGAACTCCATAGGAGTATAGCATTTCTGGATTAGGAGAAATTGTGAGATTATTGATAAAAAATGCCCTTTGCTAAGCTAATTTTACAGAACAGGCTTTCATTTGAAGATTCGGGGAAAATTTACAGTGGATAACAATCAAGAATTGAGTAAAAAAAGATATGGAACGGTTACCTTGACGTTGAATAAGACACTTTCCATCTATGGTATAAGGTGTGCAAATTTACACAACAGAGAAAAGAAAAGACCGACCCATCTTTTTCAAAGTCCCTCACCATGTTGACATCATGAATGTAAGCAAAAGTATGACCAGTCAACTCATTCTTGCGCTCTGTTAAGTAGTTCATGTATTACTACGTAGTTGTCAAAACGATATTTGGCTAATTATCAGTGTCTGCTGTTCCACATATATGCTTTAAAAGGCCTTTGTTAATATTGTTATCTCATGTTCATGTTTCAGGATTTATTAGATAGTGATTTAAGGGAATTTATCTGAAGAACCTTCTGTGCACACGCATTTTCGTGTTTCTGCCGCCAGGTTTGACAGGATGTTTCCCAGGCAGTTAGTGACAGGAGGCCGGCAAGTAATGTTTCGTTTTCAGTGTTATGTCGATTCTAGGTTGGTCTTAAGACTATACAGTGGAAACAAAGAAGAAAAAGACCTTAATAACTGTCGCACTTTGATTTCTGAGGCCATCAGGTACCCCAAATCCCCTAAAAAGTGAGAAAAATGAAGCGATCACATCCACAATAGACCAACCACTGACTCTCCTTGGTGGTGCCTGAAGGGCATGCCTAGTCACGGCACCTAAATTGTTAGGTTAGGTTGGGTTAAGGGTCAGGGCGTTTTGGGGGGTTTGGAAGGTGTGAAATCCTGTAGATTTTGCCGAAAGATGGGTTGGATTCCCGTAGAGTTTTTCGAACTTTAGTGCGTTGGTGCATAGACTTTCAAAGGTGGCGGACATGTTCGATTTTCATTGTTTTTTGTGCTAGTTTTACATATTTCTGTTTGTACGAAGTACATCAGGGAAATTATGGGGTAAAACAGGCTTAAATAAGAAGTATAAAGATAAAAAATGCGTAAAACTAGCACAAAAATGCTTAAAATCAGCTAGTGAAACTCTACCAATGTAACCACTATCTTTGAAATTCTACGGGCTTGCGCGCCAGAATTCAAAACTCTACAGGAACCCAACCCACTTTTTGGCCAAACTCTACAGGATTGCTTTGACTTTAATCACCTTTTTCGTCATTTGGAGCTCTTGATGGCCCAGATATAAAACTGGGATGGTTACTAAGTTTAATTATTCTTCGATGCCACTGTAAAAGTCTTAAAAGAACCCAGAATCAACACAACACTGGAAACACAACATTTCTCAATGGCGTTCTAGCTCGAAATGATCAGGCTGATGACCTATCAACCTGTGGCTGCCGCAAGAAAGCGTGAAACACTTGATGGGCATGATTCTATATGAGGGTATAGTTATAAATATCAAAATATGCAAATGAAGTATAATAACATTAATAAAAGACTTTTTAGGCATGTATGTAAAACTTCAATAACATTACTCTAGTATGAGTAGATGAGTAATGTCTATGGAGCTAGTGAGATCCTAGTTACATACTCCTTTTTGGGAGTCTTATGGTATGGTTGGTTTAGTACTGATCCAACAGGTCATACCTGTAATGGTATGTCAGTGGATTTGCATCCGCCATAGACTGGTGTCAATCATCTCTTTAAGGAGCTTTTGTGTGTGGGTGTAAGTGCCCACAGGTATGGCTGGGTGCTAGAGATCGACGGGGGAGAGCCGGAGCGGCTCCCCTGATGGCCAAGGCCTGGGTAGGCCTAGTTGCTGCTGCTGTGATCTTGCTCTGGTGGAGGATCGGTGAGTGCTGAACTCGACCCGGGCGCTGGAGCTTAAGTAGGGCTGAGCTGTGTCAGCTACCTGGGAACGAGGGGAGCCTGCGGTCCAATAGGCGAGCCTTGAGGTGTCCGGTGTCAACCAATCAGGTCTTGGTATGCATCTTCGAGAAGCTGCTGATGGTGAGGGTGAGAGGACAGGCTGTGTGGACCTGGACCCAACCTGGGATAAGTATACCGCGCTGCAGGTTGCGGGGGTCTGCTACAATGGCTGAGGTCCTGCTCAGGAAGGGTTGTTGTATATGTATACTGAAAAAATTGTAGGATAGACTCTAGACTGTACAGTATTTTTCTTGCGTGGGGAATATTACAATTTTTTCATTTGCAGAAAACATCATTTTGTCTATATTTGTGCGGACGGATGATAAAACAAGTGTGCTGAAAGGTCAAAAGAATTCTATGCATGGAAGATAATTTAAAAGAGAACTAAGTGTGCATGGAAAGTTATCCAAGAACTACATATGTGCAGAGAGAATTTGACCAAATAATTTTAGTGCAGGGAACACATTCCCCGTACAGACCAAACTCTACAGTCTGGGATAGACTATGCAGTATTTATACATCAATGTTAATATTAGGGTGCTGTGCTACCCAAAATCCCTTTTATTTGGCAGGGTACCACTACCTGTCAAGTCCTCTGCCTGGAATGTAAGTTTCCACCTCATTTGATGCATAATAGAGCCCAATCAGGTCAGAGTGAAATACATTGTGAGTGATTATTTGGTGGCTTTGCGAGACTGCCAGAC